TAGGGTATCTGAATGTCGACTACGTTTATTTGATGTTCTTCTTGTATAATACCTATAGAAGATAATCGAATTTCAGCTGCAAAGAAAAGCTAATATATGTGCAGTTACCAAAGCTAATTTAAATTAAGCGCACTTAAGCAGACAGGGTATCTGCTAGTCGAATATACTTTTATTTTTAATAATTTCTTGTTTTAATTTAAAGAGTTCGGCTGCTAAATTAAAGCTGAAATATGTGCTGTTGGCCAGGCTAATTAAAATTGGCTTCTGCTAGCGCAAGAATGCGTTGCATACTTTCAGCAGCACACACACACACACAAGCACACGTGCACACACACACACATATACACACGCACACACACAGATGCTGACTGGTATTTATACGCTCACATATTTACACGTTAGTTTTCCATTACTTGACATTTTCTTTGCCTCGAACGCGGCTATGGCAGTTGGATTTTTTAATTTGCGTTATACGAGGAGTTTCCTTTTGAGTAGCTTGCGGCGCCACCCACACACATACACACACGCACACACACACGCACACACACTGACACACACACACACACATGTGGAAAGGGCAAGGAGCGGCGCAACGTAGCGTGACAACCGCCAGCGTCGAGCAAATGTCACGCTTGACTCATTTCCGTCCCATGATGTTGCCGGTGCCGCAGTCGCAGCTCCTGTGGCTGGCTGCAACAGCAGCCGCAGTGCAAAGAAAGCCACATGACAATATTGGTTGCTTGGCGGCCAAAGCTGGTAGGCGACACTCGGTGAGTGGGTGGATGGTTCTCTCTCTCTCTCTCTCTCTCGTCTCTTTCACTCCGGGTGGAGGCAACCTCTCAGCCGGAAGCACTTGAGAACTTGCAATGGCCGTCGGCCATTTTGCGGTCTCGTGCGTCACATCGCATCGCATCGGAGCAGCAACCGGCAGCGGCAGCTGAAAATTCCCTTCGTTTTCATTATGTTGCGGCTATGTCCTTGCCTCATGCACCTCCTCAGCGGCAGCCTCAGCCTCAGTCGCAGTCGCAGCCTCAGCCTCAGCCTTCTCGTTATGTTTCTTTTCAGTGAGGAGCCACGTCATCATTATTATGAACACCGTTATGGCCAGCAGCTATATATTCCAATTTGTTGTTGTTGCTGTTGGTCGGTGCTGCTCCCACTCACCCGTCCCCACCTCCTGCTACCCCTTTTAGCCAGCGGTTGTTGCTTTGCTTTTGTCTGGTCTTCAGGGGGCCAGCTCTTGGGTGTTCTTATATGACCGCCGCCAAGTTATTGTAGCCAGCGCTTGTTATATATACCCTGTAATGCATTCAAGAGATTAAAAGTGGGTGTTATGCAGCTGTGAGCGTGTATGTGACAGACAGAACAAGTCACGTTTAAGGCTTCAAGTATGGTTAATTATTGAAATGGGTCGATCTACAATAAGTTTGGGACATTTTATTTGGAAAGCAGCTGATATATTGCATCTACAAAATTGATCTCTTTTAAATTTGCTTTTCTTCAAATGCTTTATCTCTCTTTCTAATTGATTTTGTACCCATTTCTCTCACTATGACAAATGGAAATATATCGATAAATTGTATAGGGTAGCTGCTAGTCGCTAACAAGCCTCCTATTTCAAATTTCTTTCTTCCCATATTCTGGAAAACTTCAATAACTATTTTCAATGACAATTTGCAATGTATGGATAAATCTTTTTAATTTCTTAACTTCATTTTTATATAGAATATCTCGCCGTCTTGACCTATTGTGCGTCGAGTTCTCATTTGTTATTGTTATTTATTTTCAGCGCTTTTCAGCGGCTCGTTGACAAAAAGTCTTGCCTGCTATTTATAAGCCGCAACAATTGGAAATGTTATGTGAGCCGCCTGAGATACCTGAGGCACTCGCTGCACTAGCTAATACCCTGGCATTCTACTTACATTTTAGCGTCCGCTTTTCATATGCAAATAATGCAGCTGGCAGCAGCGGCAGCCACAATAATAACAATAATCGTGCCACATTTAGATAGCGCACACAGAAAATACCAAAAAAAAAAAATAAATAAATAGAGAAAAAAATATATTAAAACGCTTTTAGCCAATTGAAGAGTTTAAACATTGGCCAAGTATAAAATTTGTTTGCATACCAAAAATGTTAAGTTGCCCGCTGCCAGCAGACGCTGCCTCAGCCTCAGCCTCAGCCTCAGCCTCAGCCTCAGCCTCAGCTTTCAACCTCAGTCGCTGGCTGTGCCGCTTATCTGGGCGCTGCTTGCAACATTTGCTGCGGGCCTTTTTACTTTTGGTTTTTCGATACGAGAGGCCGCCTGGATAAGGTGCAGGGTGTGGGGGGAGGGATGGAAGCAGCAGCAGCGGGTGTGCTGCATTCAGTGTGTGTGAGTGTGTGTGTGAGTGTGTGTGTGTGTGTTAAGTTGGTCGCATATACTTTTGGCCTCGCTTGGTGTCGGTGCCTTACCGTTGCTCCAAGCCATATTGTTGTTGTTGTTGTTGTTGCATTTGTTGCCTTTGCTGTTGCTGTTGCTGCTTTTTGGCATCTGCTCCTTGGCCCTAAGCTGATTGTTACTTTATGAAATATTTGCAAGCAACTTTATTTACAATTTTTCGGTTATTTATTGTTTGCAATTTATGCTTGAATATTCGTATTCGCATATACGAGTATATTCATTGTTGTTGTTGTTGCTCTTCTTGTTGTTTTTTGTTGTGTATTTGGTCAAGTTTGAGTAACTGATTTATCGCATCGCATTTGCGTCGGTGTGAGTGTGCCTGTGTGTGTGCGTGTGTGTGTGGGTGTTGCCATATTGAAATGAGCGCCAAAATATAACATATCCATCCACCCACACACACACACACACACACACACACATACAAACATAAAAAGGATGTTTGCCGCAAATATTTGATAATATTTTTAAATTTTTAACGAATTTTCTAAGAATTGAAGCTGCGTACTTCCTTTTATTTGCAATGCAGATATTTTAAGTATATTTTAAGTCTTATTTTTATGATCCAAAAAGCTAAAACAAGTATCAGTTACAAAGGTAGATATATGATTTCTATTGAAGTCGTATGTTTTGGTATGATAAGCTGTTCTTCTTTTTAATTTTTATATATTCAAAGAATATTTATATGCTAGTTGTTAGCATTGAGCTTCAAGTTATCGCTTGCTTTAATTTAAGTGTTGCACAGCACTTTTCCAAGTTTTTAGCCCCAATCAAATCAAACTAAGACTACATTTTCAATTACTTGAATGTAGTTGCCCCACCCCATTTTCCCCACAGCACTGCAAATACAGAATATTTCTAGAAATTTGTGCATAGATCATTTAGCATTTCGGCTTTTAATTGCAACTGTCTAAAATATATACGAGGCACAGCCTGTGCCTGTTTTGGTTAGACTCTTTTTTTGCTGTTGTTGATGGACAAGGCGCAATTAAAAATAAAGAAGAATATGAATTCCGTTTGGGCCAAATTGAACATGACATTTGTGCTGGACTGTTTGAGTTTTGCTAATGAAGCAGAGACTCATATTGTATTTGTTTTGTTTTGTTTTGGTCGGCTTGGCTTGGCTTGGCTATGAATTGGATTGGATTTCCATTTTCCAAAATTGAGCAATTCGTAATGAAACAGTTGCTGTCATTGGCAAAATGACTTAAATTGCAAATATGCAATGTTCGAAAGGCTGCAAAATGCATTTCCCATTGACGAAACGGGCCCCATCAAAGAATTTCTCTGCATTGAAATGGTCGAGGAATGCAATTAATGATCCCAACATAAAGTGAAGCGAACTCGAAGCTGCCTCCTAAATTCTTTATATTGTTGTCTGTCAACTTTTGAGTTTCTTGTGGAATGCATTTGCCTAGCTTAAAGACACTGCGTTGCTTGAAATTCAACGCTCAGCTGCATTTTTGATAAAGGAGCATAAAAATCAAATTTCGCCTGAGGCTCAACATTTGAGCCAACATTTGTTTGCTTGCAAATAAATTTATATGCTGTGTGTTGTTTACTTAATGCCAAAGCTAGTTAATAAAATCATTGAAAAATATTGTTTTAGTCGAGTTTTTACTTAAACCAAACTACGCCCCTCGACAACTATGAAATGCAATTAAAATGCAATAATCTGTCGCAGCGCTGATTCCAATTGCTTAACTCGCTGTCAGTCTCTGGTAGGGAAGGGGGGCAGTGGAACAGCGGGCGGGGGCTTGGGGCTTGGGGCAGGGAATTGCTATCGATATTTTTGCATATGGAAGCGGGCTTGTGGTCTATGTTGCCGGTGGTCAAAAGGCAACTGCAATCAAAATTGCAAATACAATAATATGAAAAGCACAATGAAATAAATTGAAATACCTCAAGCTATGTAAATGGGCAACCAGCCACATGGACACACGCACAGGCCGACCCCGAACACACCACACACACACACACACACACACACGCTTGCACCTATGTAGAGCTTGGCAGAGCAAATATGAACGAGACAACAACAACAACAACAACAAGAAGAAGAGTGCGCACTGGCGAGTGTCACAGCAACAACAACAAGAACAACAAAGAAAAAAAGTTTACTCGCCTTCCCTACAAACTCCTACACCTACCCGAGGCACCAATGGGGCACCATGTCAGCAAGCTCTTGCTGGTAATAGGAACAGCTGGCAATATCAACGAACAATTTACCTATGCTATATAAATCAGAGCAGATACTATATAAATCACATTAAATGGATTTTGTGGATATACTTTACGACTCTCCGGTATTAAAAGTATATATCGATCCATGGATACTTATATCTGTATACAGATAAAGACGGCGGGGCTCCATATTCAGATATAGAAAGTCTTATACATATAGAACAAGACAAGTGGAATGGCTAGAAGCCCAGAAAAGGACTTTTGTTATAAAGATAAAGATAGCCCCATGACCTAATGACAGTATTAATAATATATATAAATATATATACATTGTTATATAGATAATGTCAAGACTTTTTTTAAGTGTAGTTCCATATATCTTTTATTTAGTTTCATCCACAGATGTATTCAAATGTATCAATCTATATTATTAAGTGAAGTATGTTATATTTATGTACTTTCCAAATGTCCACCAAGTAAAACCTATTCTCAAAGAATGTATAATAAGGTGTATGTGCTGAAGAGTTGACTGAATAAGTCATGTGCCTATGGGAATTTAAGATATATAAAACAATATATAAAATAACTGATATTTTTGATTTACGAAAGGGTATATTAGATTCGTGTATCTGCCTGTTTTTTGGCAAGGAAATGGAGAAGGGCGCGTCTACGTAATCAGCATTTGTGGCGCTCGAGGTCATCCGCAAAGTCTTCAGGCGACATCGTGTTGCATGCGGCATAGCTACGTTCCACAACGACAACAACAACAACAACAATGAGAGCAACAGCTACAACAAAAGTTCCGTGTGGCTGCGGCCCAGAATGACGACGACGCCGCTTCATCTTCCTGCCTTGGCCGTTGCGGCAACTGCGGCGGCGGCTGCTTGGCCTGGGGCAACATTTTGGGTTGGCTGGAATATTATAATTACAAGCGAAACAGGCCCCAGAGGTGCCCAAAGCAGCGCCCAACGTTGGTTGCCCATGACAACATTGCCAACGACTGTGATGCCCAAATGAAGCTGAAGCTGAAGCTGGAACCCAAGCCGAGCAAGAGAACGAGAACGAGATTGGGACTGGGATTGAGACCGGGACGAAGGCAGAGACCGGGTGAGGCGCCTCAAACGACTGAGGACGCAGTGACAGTTCCGCTTTTAGCCTGGCCCGGCTGTCAACCCGTGTGTGTGTGCGCTAGCCAGTTGCATGCAACTTGCAGCTGCTACCGAGCTGAATGCTAGTTGAGCTCTGACTGATGGGCCCGGCGAGGATGGCTCGCTTAGTTGGCCAGCTGCCGCTGCTGGGCACAAGGCAGATGTGGCACCAGTTCTACTCGCAAATTAAGACACAAATGACTTAACAGCCAGAGCCAAAAACGAAAAACGAAAAATGAAAACCTAAAACAACTTCATTCAACTGATTTTCGTGTGAAAATTATTGAAATACATTTCCTAAAGCCAACATCAAATGACTCGAGCAACGACTTTGACTGCAGTCCATATACATGATCCCATACCATTTGGTATTTCGTATTTCGTATTTCGTATTGGGCCTAAGCACTTTCCTCGTCGTCATCGTCGTCGTCTCCGTCTACCTCTAAGCGGACATTGGCGATTATCTTGTCCACGACTGTGAAATAAATGAGCGTCGTAGTCCGTACTAAGGATAGCCTCAGGGCCATTGTTGGCGCATTGTTGCTTCAAAGAAAAACAAAAATACCAAAGATAGGTTTCAATTTATCAGTGTGTGTGTGTGCCTGAGTGTGTGTGTGTGCGCCAGTGTGTGTGTTTGTTGTGTGCGATGTGGTTTTGTCTTCAAGGCAAACTGATTAAGAGCCAAAAAGTTCCCACATTTCATATGTGTGTGTATTTAGCAGCTTGTGGGTGTGTTAGTGTCTCACTCTCTGCATGTGTATGCCGATGTGTGTGTGCGTGTGTGTTGGTGTTGGTGTGTGCATGGGAATGCCCTTAAGTTCATTTGGGCCCTTCGAGCGCATGAAACTCTCTGCGTCTGCGCATTCAGACGCAACCTTTTGTACAGTTGACCCCATGTTTGCATAGATTAAAGATTAAGTCAAAAAATATTAATCTGATCCTTAGACCTTATGTCCTTGGCACCCTTTTTAAACAAAATAATAATGTATTCTACCGGAAATTAGCTAGGAAAATGAATTTAACGAATATTTCATGCAACTCGAATTTATCCCAACATATCTAATAAACAAATATAGCTTATAGCAGGGATTTATGTATAGATATATGGATCATTTAGACCATTTATATAAAGCATTATTTGCGCTGCATTAGAATTAACTTTAAGATATTTTACAGTGTCTATAAGCTCATTGACCTTTCCAACAAAGAGCTATCTTAATTTAAACACTAGTTTTTTTCTACAGCAGCGATAAGATTATGGCAAGAGTTTAATCAGAATTGGCAGCGATTGTGCACCCAACAATTCGATCGGGGATTGGCATTATCTACCTATGGTATGCACACATGTATATATTGATATGTATACTATATACATGCACTCATAGGCCCATACACATTCTTGAATTTCCATTATGAATTCATACTTGCAAATTATCTTATAATATCGTTTAAAACGTGCTGTATACAAGTTTGACAATCAGATGTTAAAGTACCCTTATCTATTTCTAAAAATAAGTAACTACACATATTTGTTAAACGAATTCATTAACTTTTCAACTGTGCGGCAAATCAGTCCATTGAAATGTCTTTGATCCAGACTTGCTACAACGAACAGGAAAAATGTTGGTATGGGCCGGAAAATGGGTTATTTAGCGATCCCAAAATATCCATAGGCGAAGTGGTTTACCAAGCGCTCAAGACGCAGCCAAAAAATATATTTCAAGTATGTATGCGAAAAAAAAAAACAAATTAATAATTAAAATAATTAAAATAATATGTAGATGTCCCATGATAATGGACAAGTTGAGAGCAATGCGGAGGCTTTGTCTGCAGCTGTTCGCATAGCCCAGTTCCTGAGCTCGCAAGGACTCTCGCACAAGGACAATGTCGGGCTTATAGCTAGAAACGACATTCATGTTACTCACGTTTTGTTGGGTTGCCTTTTCAATGCCACGCCCTTCCATGCCGTCAATCCGCAGCTGGAGACGGAAGCCATAGCTGCTCTGTATGCGATAACAAGGCCAAAGCTGATATTCTGCGATGGCGGCGATTACGAACTCTTGAAATCCCTAACTAAAGACTGGAGGCCAAAGATTATAACGCTGATCGATCATGTTGGGAATGTGCCCAGCATTGAGGATCTCTTGGGATCAACCAAAACGGCAAAGAACTATGCGTAAGTAGAATTCAGAAAGGGAATCAATTGGTAACTAAACAGAATTAAATAACTTAAGAAACTTACTGCATGCCAGATGGTATGGGATATATTTCCGATAGCTGTCGGATAACAGATATATCTAATTATATTTGTAACTTATATAAACATTTTATAGACCCGTAAAACTTGTGCATGGCGGCGATCAAACCATGGCCATTGTCTGCTCCTCGGGCACTTCGGGCTTACCCAAGGCTGTGACAATAACCAACTCTCAACTATTGCTGATAGCACCGTGAGCTTCAACCTTCCAGATGATCTTTCTTGCATATCTAAAACCCTATTCCATTGCAGCGTCAGCGGCATTAATGATGTGGTGTACACAACCGCTGGCTATGATTGGTTGTCCGCCATAAAGTGTCTGCTGAGCAGCACCCTCAACGGAGCCGTTCGCGTTGTTTCGCGTCAGCCCTTCAGCACGGAGCTGATTGTGGATATTGTCAGGAAATGGCAGGTGACTTACTGTTATCTGTCGCACTGGCAGTTCAATGAGCTGTTCACCAGTCCGTTGGCCACGCCGGAGCATCTGTCCAGTCTGCAGTTCGTGCAGTACAGCGGGGGCTGGGTATCGGCGGGCGTTGTGCAGGCAGCTCAGCGCATCATCGAATCCACGCTCTTTGTGTGTGTGTACGGCACAACGGAAACGGATGGCATAGCGGTGTGCATAAATCCGGAAACGGAAAATCTGGTGGGCGCTTTGCTGCCCGGCATTACGGTGCGGATCGCGAATGAACAGGGTGACAGGCTGGCGCACAACGAGATTGGCGAAATACTGATAAAGACAAACCAGAACTGGAATGGTTACTATGGCAATCCGGCGCAAACGGCTCAAACGCTCGATTCCGAGGGCTGGTTCCACATGGGTGATCTGGGCTACTTTGATAAGGATAATAGGCTTTATATAGTGGATCGCAAAAAGGATTTGCTTAAATACAAATCCATGCACTACACACCCAACGAGATTGAGAGGATCATCATCGAGTTGCCGGATGTGCAGAAGGTCTGTGTGGTTGGCATTAAGGATCGGTTATATGGTGATGCGGCTGGCGCATTAATTATCCGCAAACCCAATAGCCACTTATCCGAACAGCAGGTCATCAATCATGTGGCCGAACGTATTCCCGTCGAGTACAAGCAGCTCCATGCGGGCGTTCGCTTCGTGGACAGAATTCCCGTCAATGCCAATGGAAAGCTGCTGAGAAATGCAGCTAAAGAAATATTTAAAACCACTTCAAGAATGCCCAAAGCTTCGCTTTAAGTTCTATTAAAAATGTATCAATCCATTTATTAAGATTCTATTAAGTATATCATTGTATATCATTTTTATCCAGAGAACGTTTATCCGGACACTGGAGAGAGTGGATTGACAGACAACAAATGAAAGCAAATAGTAGATACGTCATTACTGCTTTTGATCCCGTTTTATATTTGGATTGCATGCGTCAGCTTCTGACAGAGAGTGTGGATTATGAACGGCATGAGCGGGTGGGGTAATTCATATGTCCACTGCGCTCGCGCCATTGGTCGTCTTGCTTTTGATCCCGTTAACTGAACGAACAGTGTGCAAGACGGATAGCCCAAATGTCGCTTCGGTGTGGGCGCAAGCATAATTACGCATTTAGTATGTGCGCGTCTGCCTAATTGATCGTACGTGTTCTCCGCGCGTGTGTGTCAAGTTGTTTTATAAAAAGTATAATTAACTAGCCTCGAGCTAAATGCGGTTACTTAGTGTGTTGTGCATGTGTAAGTCCAATATATTTGTGATTCCATAGTTTAAAATAGATAAAATAGTCATCAAAACGCAAGCTGTTTAGTTTTTGTTGCACACTTTTTGCAATGAAAAAATGGAAGCAAATTGGCGCATTTTATAACTGCACACACAACCAGAGAGAGTGGAGCACAAAAGAGAGAGAAAGAGGAGAGCATTCCAAAGCTTTTCTTAGGCAAGTAAGTAAGGCTCAAATAATGACATGTTTATTTCCATGGGATAAGATAAAAAAAGCTCATGTTCAACAAGCTTTGGATAAGCGAATAAAAATAAGTTTAATGCATTATAAAAACCTTTAGTTGGGCAAATTAAAAGCAAAGAGTTGCCATTCGGATCAAGTTTTGTTTCGTTTAATTTGCTCCCTGGGTAAGAATTTCTTATATATATATATATATATATATATTTTTTTTTTATAGTCTTCATCTAGCCATCGGCTGCATTTCATGTGAAATATGTATTACGAAAAGGAACAGAGCAATGGGAAATTCCCTTGCGGCGATTTATTAGTAAAAAATGTTTCGTGTTTCGGCGTCTGCGCGTCGCATTGTTCGTCGTGTTGTGTTTACGTTGTAAGCTGTTGCTGTGCGTTGTTGCTGTTGTTGTTGTTGTTGTTGTTGCTGCTGCTGCGTTTGCCTTTTGGCCATGATAATTTAGATGATGTTGTTGTGATAACAATACACACACACACACACACACTGAGACACGCACGCCCTAGCTAAACCCAAAGCCAAAGCCAAAAACTGCACGAACAAGTTCGATGTTCGCCTCCTTTGTAGGAGTCTCAGGGGTAAACTGGAGGGGGATTTCTTTCGGTTTCTGCCTGACTCTTGCCTATCGCTGGCCTACAAGAATTTATGGTCAATGTGAAAGTAACCTTGATTTATGGCCCCCATCAGACCATCACCTCAAATAGGTTCGAATTATATAAATTGTGCCATATACATAGGTATAAACTGTGCAGGTGCCCTGGGCAAAAAGGATTAGCTCGCTGCAGGCTATGGATACATCTATTTGTTGCTAAGCTCGTGTCCCAAACGGTTGTCAGAGGCGGCGGCAGGGGGTAGGGGTGTGGTCAGGGTAAAGGGGTGTGCACTAAGCATAATTCACATCCCACTCTCGTATATCAAAGAATTGTTAAATTACTTAAAGGAGAAAAAATACGCATAAATTTAATTAAATCAATCAAATGAATGCTGACAAATGGAGATAACATAACATGAAGATACCACGATACATCTATATATATATATATATAATATAAATTTAAAGTATATCTTGACATCTTTCAAATAGAATGACAGATTTAAAAAAATGTATTTTTTCCCAAATCAACTCAAATTGGATATCATAAAAATCGTGCATATTCTGTAGAAATATTTACTATATCTAGATGCTTGAGTGAGTAAAATATATTGTAAATTTGTGTAATCGATTTGATATGAAAATGTCTCTAATTTTATTTAATTTATTTTTACTTTCCCCTAATGCATCCAGAGCGAGTGTAGCTGGAAAATCGGAAAAAGCTTGAACAAATTTATAATGCTATGCACATAGAAGTATATTGAATTTGGTTTCGCTTTGACACAGGACTGATGTTTGTATTGGCATATTTGAATTTCGATTTGATGGTCAAAATTGCAGTAGCCATAATATTTTTCTAACACTCGCGCAGTTTAAATTTATGCATGGCGGCTCTCTAATACCATTTAGAATAACAGAAATAATTTATTATTTTTAACACTTTACAATTTCAGTATATTGTGCGATATCGTTTTTATTATCGTTGCTGTTGTTGTTGTTGTTGTTGCTGTTGGTACTGTTATTCTTGCTGTAGGTTTTAGTGTTATTTGGGATAACAACAAAAGCGAATTGTTTATTTTTCATTTGGTCAAGCGGTGCTCAGTTTGAGTTGGGTGGATTGGAATGGGATGGACTGAGGTTTCGGCAGGTGGAGAAGTGAACGCGTTCGAGTGCGTGTAGATTTCAACACTTATGCTGAAAATATACATTTATAAATATTTAACAATAAATTGGGCAATAAATGCGAATGGAGTAAAATTTTATTACTCTAAAACTGGAAAACGGAACTCTAAAGTTTGCAATTTAAAATATGGGCACCTTTAGCAAGCGCATTATATAATAAAAGCATTTCACCACAAACCCAGCCGATTGCATTTTAGCCAAATATCGTCGCTCCTCACTCGCATATTCTGTAATGTCATAACCCAGCATATAGCCAAGATAGGCTAAAGTGCACAGAAGCAAGAGAATTGTATAGGTATTCCAGTCATCTACAAAATTAAGTCCAAAATAGAGCGTCTTTTGTTTGTCTAGGTATAGTTAAATTTAGACTTACCAAAAAATTGAACTGTGCGTTTGGCTCTATCGACTATTTTGCTGAATTTGGTGCACTTGTACCGTTGAAAAGGACTCACTAGTAGGATACTAGCATTAATCTGTGGTAATACATCCCGTTGAGGCTCGGCAGCGTGCTCCAAGTATGGCTTGTATGAGAGCGGTTTCTAAGAAAGGATTGCTAAAGTAAACAACCAAGCAGTTAACTGCTTGTGGTCCTCCCATTTACATACTGTTAATTACCGTTAACAGCTATGCGAGCCACATAACAGTATGTTAAAACTTACCTCTACTCTGCGTCGCTTATATTGAACTGATTTTCGGCTTGTGTCAGCTGTGTCATAGCAGCTTTCATCTGTTGAACAATCGTTTTTCTTTTTCTGATGTTTAGTTTTCTTAATTTTCCTTGGATTTATTTTCTGCACACTTGGAAGTGGCATTCCCTCTTCCCTATGATCAGGTTGTTGTGGCTTGTGTAGCTTAATTGTCGGTATACCATCCAGCTGTTTAGTAAAGTTGTTGGCTTGCTGAGTAAACTTGGAATCGTTTGTATGTGCCTGCGTTCTTATATCCCAAGGATACACATGTTGAGGTAATCCCATTTTGTTTTCCATGTGCTTTTGGATTTTTTCATGCGCTCGGCATTCCATTTCGTTTTCGCCAAGTAAAGTTGACAGCTTGAATAGATCCTTGTTGGCTGAGACGGCACAACGCTCCTGCAGCCCAGGAAGATTGAGTTGGGCCTGCAAATGACGATCACCGACGTGGCCAACAGTTTTGGTTGTTATCTGACCATCAGCCGTTATTATTACAGAGCTGGCACACACCGAGTCCAGCCTACAAGTACGTGAACTACACTTAATCACATAATTTCAGAAATTCAATTAAGCAATTAAGTAAAAACTTACGATTCGGATACAAAATCATTGTTTCTGTATAACTCAACTACCTCAGGAGGAGCGCCGGACAGTTGGTTGTGCTTGCTAAACAAACATTTGGCTAGCTTATTTTCGCCGGCTGTTTATTTGAGATGTACTCACTGTGCGGTCGACCACATTCTTCACAGTTGAAAACCTATATAAAATTTAAAAAATAAAATACAAGGCTGAAAAAAGTAGAAAGAAACTGTTTTCAAAGTCTTAATAAATTGAATAAGGAGTGAGAACGCTTTGCCTGCCTAGAAAGCAAAATTCCGACATATGTGTTACAGTTTAATATAGATTAACATAATCAGTTAACAGTAATTTGCTGCAGTACAGATATGTTAATTCAAGCGTGCAAGCAGTAAACTGCTTGACATTAATATTGTATACCAAATAATGATCTCACACATGAAATATATATGTATATACACAAGCATCACATAGCATACATACATATATTTATTAAGTTTGCCAAGCGCACAAATTATACAATTTGTCCCTTTGGGGATTTAGTTGGCAAATAACAGAGCGGAGATTGAAATGTTGCCACATGGCCACTGGCTTTATAGACCGCTGTTGCTGCTGTTGTTGTTGTTGTGGCTGGCTACCTTTGAGCTGCGCAGGCGCAAAACCGCAGGCCATTTGCAGTACCCACTAGCCGGTCGCACACACACATACACACGCACACACCCCCCCGAGAGACTCCCCTCCATGGACATTGCCTCATGCGATCTCGTCTCGTCCTGCCACATTGTCCTTGCCGTGCCTCGTTTTGTCCTCTGCTCGCTCATCAAAGCGGCAAGGTCCTGGGGCAACATTAGCAAACCGAAGCGAACGGCGTCGCTGCCGCGTTTCTGCCGCCGGCTGTCGAGTTTTTCACGCAGCGACGCTTTTTCGCCGTACAGTCAACGCCCGCTGCCAGCATCCGCAACTCCTTCAAACCTGGGCTGGCAGTGGGTGGCAGCCAGCTGTACATAAGCCTTTGTATATACCCAGCGCCTGTTTCTGTATTGGTAAGTGTGTTTGTGTGTGTGTGTGTGTGAGGGACTATTCTGTGTGTAGCTGGCGGCCATTTCGTGCGGCGCAACTAAATGCACTTGTTGTTGTTGTTGTTGCTGCTGCTTCCTTTTTTAGTTGCTGCTGCTGCTGCTGCTGCTGCTTAGCCGTTACTTTGCCATTGCCGGCAGCTATTTGAGGCTGGAATGTGCCTGCCACAGGCAACGGCAACGGCAACGGCAACAGCAACAACAGCTGCAGCTGACTGACTTCTACTTTGACTTTGAGTCGCCAGCTTTCTTTTCTCTCTTAGCTTTAATTGACTTTAAAGCTGCCAAAATAAAAGCATATATAATCTAGGATGAAAACCAATGTGAAGCTGAACCGCCTCAAACACAGAATTTCATTTGGGCTTAGTTTTAATTATTAACCGAATCTTAAGACAAATTAAAACATGATTTATATGAAATATTTGTAGCATATTGAATTTTGGATTTGTTCCATTAAGATATTGAAAATATCTAGCAATTCAAACCTGAGTACAAATCGGTTCGAACCGCGAACCGAACTTTTTTTGGTTTGCCTTCCTGCATATAATATATGTATAGATACTCAATCAGAGTGGGGCAATTATTTTGCACATACCAGTGGAGGCAGAACAAACAATTTGATTTTGTTGTGCAACTGACAGTTGCATAATTTCTGCATGAATGCCACTTTCAAATTCAATGCACACACACAAAATTCGTTTGTTGTTGCCTTTGTGTGTGTGTTTGTGTGTGTGTGTGTGACTGTTAATTAAATTGTGTCTAAACGTGCCGCCGTCATTTGCGTTTGCTCTGCGATTGCTCAATGAAGCGCATAATTGCATAGAAAATAGAAAATTGATAATGCTTTTGAAAATTTCGTTTATACCCAATTCTCATAGATATCAAAACAATCTCAGCGAGTTTGAGATGAGCAAACGGGATTAAACTTCAGTTTAACCCTACCAAAAATAAGCACACGCCTCTCAGGCATTAATAGGCACACATAAAAGGGTGCAACTGTGTTGGAAACGGGCTTAATACATTATCCGAAAGGTGTTGTACTCTACAGCGCTAAACGAATTAGCTTTTAACAGACTTTGATTCCTCCTCATGAAGTGTGGTTAATACTAACATTTCAAATTTTCTGTGTTGGAAATGTCTAAACTATGATTCAGTGTTGTCTAGCGCTGAAACAAAACTGTAATTTAATTCATTGAGTAATAATTCAATGAATTTAATTTTAGGTACGCATTGTCTACTAATCTAATAGACATAATTTATATTCTAGCATAACATCTAATTTCTATAAATGTTGTATACTGACATTAAAAATTTCCAATACTAAAACAAGTAAATGATTCGTTTTAAACAATCTTTTGTGCAGCTTCCTCTAGAAACCTTGTCTAGTAAATATAACATATTAGATGCAGGGTAGCGCACAGTCGCCCAGTCTTAAATGGGCTAGAAACTTATGCCGCAGCATCTTGGCATAAGAATGGTGCACGGAAATGCCGGCATAGCTTCCGTTATGCCGTTTGCTTTAGATTCGTGGATGGGCGGAGAGCAAAAGGCTGTGCGGATGGGCGTGTGGGGTCTGGTTGGGAAAACCGCTTCAATGCGACGTTCGGTTAAACAAAAGCAGCGCTTGCGATGTGGCAAACGGGAAATTAAACGTTGCAGAGTTGCTTTCGTTGATGTTACTGTTGTTGTTTTTGTTGTCGATGCGGCGTATGTGTAATATTATTGGCACACAGCGCACAATGCGACAGAATGCCATATGTTGTTGTTGCTGTCCGCTTTTCATTCAGCATTGCAATTATGTATGAGCAGCAAGTGCTGATAACAGCAGCAGCAACTGCTGTGGCAGCAGCTGCGGCAAGTGCCACCACGTTGGCCGCACAAATGTTGGCAAATAACAATTGCCATTTGGTCATTAAGTGTCGTTTTTAATGGCTATTTCCCTGAGTTGGTATTAAGTGCACTGCGAGTTATCTTCAAGTCACATAAATTGTCAGCTGATAAACGCGGCCAGAGCCAAAAAGTTGGCTAAAGCCCGACCGAAAACTAGCTGATATAAACGACGGTTGCCCAAAAGAAAATTTTAATTAAATGTCGCCGCAAACGATGCGGTAATTCGAGCTGCTAGATGCAAAGCCACGAAAACTACAGACACATTCATTCAAGCAGCAGCAGTTGCAGCCACAATTGCACTTGCATTATTTTAGCAATATGAAAATTATTTTGGCTGCCGGCAAGCGGCTCAATTTATCACAAAATGTACCACACTTCAGACTATCCCCAGCTTGTCGCCCTCACACACTCTTGCTCTCTCTCTCACTCTTTCTCTCACTCCTTGTGGCAGGTTGCACATGTCAAGCGTTTCGGATTGCACTTAATACCCATTTTATGTTGCCATTGCAATTGCATTTCCATGTGTCAGCAACATTTTTAGGCGCCTTCGAGCGCTGTGCTTTGCGCTATTTCTGATGGCTAATTTCTAGTCCATAAATAACGAGGCCGCTTCACTGTGCTGCATATTTAAATCGGGCCACATTTCAATGTAAACAGCGAAAGAAAGAAATCCTTATTTATACCCTATTCAAAATAACTAAAAAGGGTATAATTAAAAAGTAATTTTTTATACCCTATTCAAAATAATTGAATCGTGTATCGTACGAGTGCATGGAACAGGCAGAAGGCGGCCTCAGGACAATGAGTTTAGTCGATCAAGCCATGCTGGTTGGTCCTTTGGAATGAACCCGTCTATATCGGACGGGTTTCCCATTTTCATATTATCGATTATTATCGATATTGAGACGGGGTTTTTATCAGAACTTAAGATTTATAGGAGCTTTATACACCATACCTTGCATATAGGTTGTCGTATATTATACACAGATTAAGACTACAGAACGCCCTCGCTTAAAGCAATTCTTGTTATACCTAACACCTAAAATTCTAGCATTGTCTCAGTTGACTTTTAGCAGGACAGTAGAGTGAAGATCGCTGGCCTTAGAGTATCTCCAAGTCGGGCAGTCCTCATTAAAGCCTGCTTGTTTTTATTTCGGATAGTACCATAGAACAGGTAGCATACCAAGGCATAGAATCAAGCACTACGCAGCGCTGGAGGACATGCGGCGAAGGCCACAACAACAACAAGACCAACAACAACAGCAACAACAACAACTGCACAGCACGGTCTGTGTCTGGGCACTTTTGTTTGGCGTTGGCGTTTATGTGGCAGACATTACTGTACGAGTAACCCACACGCCAAGTTCAAAAATTCATCATTGTTGGCGTTGGCTGCATTGTTGCTCTGCTCTGCGCTGCTCTGCTCTGCTGTCCTCTGCCTGTTGCCCCCCTGTCGCACTCTGTATGCTTCAGCCTGCAACAAGCCGCAAACGAAACTGACGCTGATGCCCGGCAGCTACTTTTGGGATGAAATATTATAATTACAAGCGAATAGCCCCAGGCCACGGAGCAGCAGGAGAGACAAGAGGCAGGCAGAGGCAGAGGCAGAGGCAGCAGCCGCAGCAGCAGGAGACCAAAATCAGACCGAACCAAACTGAACTGAGCGCTCGAGCTGCAGCCAGTTTGAGTATAGCCCCAGGCGCGCTCCCAACATGTTCGTGCGGAGAACGTTGAGAAGCAGGATGAGTAGCAGCAAGAGGAAGAGAGGCAACTTCGTTGTGTTTACATATATGCGACGCTCTGCTCGCACTGCTCTTCTCAGCTGCTGCTGCTGCTGCTGCTGCCGGCATTCGTGATAATTTAGATGCGTTTGCAGTGATAAGACTTGAAACTGGTTTGATCCGAGGAGCAGCATGTTTGAAGCCAACTGACAGACTTCGATTGCAGTCTGAGTGAGAGGACGAGACAAACTTGGCGTACAACTGTTGTGCGTGGGTTGACTGCTTGATACAAAAGACAAAGAGAGTGAAAGGGGGAGGTGAAGAAATGGAATGAGGCAAAAGCCGTTATTAATTGCAACTTAATTGCTTGAAGCTATTTATTAAGTTTTTGTTTAATTTATAAAGCGGACAGCGGACAACTACAGACAAATAAATACATACATAAGTACGTAATATTATTTGTCCGTGTTTGTTTTTGTATTTCACTCGTTTTCATTTCAATTTACTGCACGTCAAGCACAAAAGAACACACACACAGTGTGTGTGTATGTGTGTGTGTTTGTCTGTGTGTGTGCGCTTTCCTCATTTTACATAGCTGTCAGTTTTATTGAAAATTAGCCTCCAGTTAATTTTGTATACCATTAAATTTATACATGTTTGCCTCGCTACCTTTCTCTCCTTTTCCCCCACTGGGCTTGTGTGTGTGTATGTGTATGTGATATATACATATACAAAAAGTAATGCATGCAGATTATAACTTAAATATGAAATGTCACGCATTGACAGGCAGTTTTGAAAAGTGTGCAACAACAACAACAACAAGACATTAATACACCGACAAGTTTTACACCTTCGGGGCAACTGCGCCGCTGCCACTCCATTTATGAGGCAGTGCCAGAGCCAAAGTCACAGTCCGAGTCCGAGTCCGAGTGGAAGTCGAAGCACCACCAGCATCATCAGAGCAGCCAACCACAAAAGGCGGCCACAGACCAGAAACAGGAATTGATGCGGCTCTGGCATACCCATCAATAAGCAAATCTCAAAGGGTCTATACCAAAACGTAACACTCAGAAAGAGTTTATAGAGAAAGTCTATTGATTATGTTTCAAAGGAGTATTTAAAACTTTATGAAGAAACGTAAATCAAGTCAATTATCCAAGTTAACTCCTCATTTTACTCATTATTCAATTCAGCTGTTGAAAACAAAATGTTATTTCAAACAATGTAAATATCAAATATGTTCGTTTAAGTGCATTTTCTAGAGGGCATTTGCTAGTCGAACATTCTTGTGGCGTACCCGGCTTTTAGTATTTGCTTTGAGGCGAAAGTGTGCGCTCTGGGATGTGGTTATTCGGGCCAGATATGATAAGGGTCATGTAACTCTGCCCAGCCGGCTGAGGTGTGTGGCAGTTGGGCTGTGCCCCGAAATGCTTGGTATGTAATCAGGCCATGTCTCTTCTTCAACTGATATACCCAAATTTGTCAAACTGCTGCTTAAGCAAAAGGCTTTTCAAGTGCTTAACACGTGCTTAATTGGATAAGTGGAGCTCCTTAGAGTTTCCACTCCACATATTTGCAGATTCTTTTGAAAACCGAGTCCAACATCGGAAACATGTGTGGACATTGATATTCCTTGGGCTTTATTCGGATTAAGATCGTATTGTTGCTATGAACATGTGGATAGTAATAGCAAATCAGGCTGAGACCATCGATGAACCTGTCGAAAGCGATGAAAACAATTAAAGTCTGATTTCGAATGGAATCTCGCAGTCTCTGCGACACTTACATGGCATAGGAGCAGCCCAGTTGATAGGTTTGCGGCTTAATCATGCGCGTAAAACTATTATCACCAAGAATCCTATAATACTTTTGTTTCTTGTGTTCAACCTTTTGGGGGAACTTTAGTTCAATATGCGTCTCGTACCAGCTGCTCAAGACGAACGGTATGAAGTTTGTGGAATAAATGTTCTTCAGAAAAAAGCTACTTCGTGCCACATCGATGTGTTGGCCTCTGACAACTTTCCTATATACTCGTGGATCTAGTCCTTTTCCTGACAGATTGGCTACAATGTCACAGTCTATTAGGCGCTGGCAGTATTTGTGATGGCGTCTAGCCAGCTCGGCCAGATTATTGTCCCAGGACATTTCCAGCATGTCGCAGGCATCCAGCTTGATGGCCAGCCGATTGCGCAATCCATTGTGGCCAAAGAGCAAAAGTTTCTTGATTTCCCTGTATTCCCTATCACGAAGATTGTAGATATTCATCAGCGAGGGGCAAGCTATGCGTGCGCCGAGATATTCGAAATTGCCATCACAATTCATTAAATTATTATCTTCTGGCGGTATAAACAATCGATTCTCATCAACAAAATTATTTGTTGCTACACTGTGCAAAAACAGCAGCACACAAAACCACAGAAGCGACATTTCCCAATTCAAATAGAATTGTGTTGATTTTCAAAGTGTTTTCTGTGTCATAAAATACAAGTGTTGTGTTCTGACTTATGTTTGTGATGTGAATCATCTTTGAGATATTTTCGAGAGGCTTCTTAATTAACAAAGTAATTTCAACTGGGTAAAGACCAAATTCCATTTTCTTTATCTTTATAAATGCATAAGCAAATGCTTACCTAACTAACGTAACTTTCTTAATTATGATCAAATTTAATTATAATTAAGGCGTAGTTCGTTCTTGGCTCTTCCCACGCTACCTTACTTCACTTATGCTGTCTTTAAGTTGGCTCCAACTATTCGCACACTTATTTTGGCCCACTTCTCAGCACACTTAACGCTTTAGTTGGGTTTGACTACTGTTCAATTGTAAGGCTGGAAATGTTTTTCACACGTTTTTTCATTTTGGTTTTTCTTTTTTGCACTGTTTGTTTTTTCCATTTTTTGTTGTTGTTGTTACTTTGTTTTTTGCTGCTGGCCGTTGACAGGTGCCTAAAATGCATTTGCACCATTTTTCAGCGTGCGAATTTTCGCTTCACATATGCAACAGCGAGTGGGCGTGTGTGTGTGTGCGTGTGTGTGTGTGTGTGTGTGGGTATGTGGGTAACACATGTCTGCAAATTGCTTTACTAACTGACTGACTGACTGTGACTACTGACTGAATCGACAGTTGTGGCTGCTGCTGTTGTTGCTCTTGTTTTTGTTGTTGTTGTTGCTGTTGACGGCACTTGGCTGCTGTTTGGTTTGTGTCTGCCAAAGTGTTGAGTGTGTGTGTGTGTATGTGTGTGTGTTGGCACGCGTGTGTGTGCGTGTAACTGCATTAATGTGAGCATATGCTTCGTTGAGTCAGCCGCTGTCCACAATAGGGCTTGCTGCTGCTGCTGCTGCTCCTGTTGCTGCTTTTGTTGTTATTGTTGTTGTTGTTGTTGTTGTTGTTTTGGCTGTTGTTGTTGGCATAACATTACAGACAACTCCATGGCCATATCATGTGCATTAATGTCCATAGCTGGACCGCTGTTCACCGGTTGCCGTTTAACGCAACAATTAAACAAACAGCCGCGTGCAACATAAACACACACACAAGCACACGCACACATGCACACCGGTGAAAATGCCTTACTGCCATATGGGCAGCCTATGATGGACTGGGCGTGGCACATCCTGGGCGGCCTATTAAGTGATTTTAACACTTTGCGCATGAAAATTGCAAAAAGGCAACGCCGTTGATAATTATCCCTTAATTGTTTAATGAGCGGCACTTGAGCAGAGACCGCAGCAACAACACCAACAACAATAACAACAACAACAACAACAACAACAAAAGCAACACCAACAACAACAACAACAGCAACAAGCGAAGCATCCTGCAGGTTGTGTCAGCTTAATTAATGTCAATTTAATTACACCGATGCACACAGTTGCACGCATAAGCTCTGTGCGCCATAAGGATACATAAGTATGTACACACACATGTGTGTGAGTGTGTGGTGGGGGGATTATAATGGGCTTAATGAGTGGCACACACAACTCGAACTGTGAGTTCGTAAAAAAGGAATTCATTATTTGAAGACGGAATTTAACTCAGATATGCAAGCCTTTTAAAATTATAATTCTCTTAAAGACAATATTTTAATTCCTCTCAAATGGTTTGGTTAAAAAGAAAACTTTTGAGAAAGATCTTGGCTCAAAGTATAAATAACTTCGACCCCAATCATTCCAAATATCTAACCAAATTTGGTAGATGCCAATTTTAGTTAGAGATCTAAAGTAGCCCACAATTCGTATATGAAAATATCTACGAGTTGCGATATTTTCAGTATAGCGGGCATTTGTAAAATAAAAAAAAAATTAAATTCATAATTATATAAATATAAAAACTGGACTGAAACTTAAAGCAAGATTTTGGATCGAACCTTAAGCCGAAAAATCCACAATTTCTTTTGGTATTGCAGCCAACAATATTTGTCACAGCTTTATGGAGACAATTGTTTATAGATAAAAATATACTATATGTATAAATACATAATAAAATAAATTATATATAGCAATTTTTAGGCCACTTTTAATGGGCGAGAAAGTTAATATTAATTCAGGGACATCCGAATTCGTAGTCAAGCTCTACTTAAATCTCCTAAACTATTATTATAGTGCCCTCAATTTATAACCTTTTCTCGTATTAATCTTAGTCTTATTTCCGTAGTTAATAGAGTTGTCTTAAAAAAAAAAGACATCAGTCAGTTTGGTTTATTTGACTTTGTATCATTTGCACGCACTCTCTCTTTCTTGTCTATGTCTCTATTAGCCAGCTCTGTTAGGCTGATTAATGTTCAGCTGCAAACGAGCTAGAAACTGGGAACCGGCTGTTGGGAGCCGAGCACTGTGTAGTCGGGCTCTTTAGCAGTTGGAGCCTAGACCCCCATCAGTGGGAACAGAACTTGGTCGCTTGTCAGTGGCAGTGTCTTTTACCCTTTTCTCTAGTCAATGGCCAGCGGTCATGTGTTGTTGTTGTCGTTGTTGTTGTGGTTGTTGTTGTTGTTGCTGTTGCTGTTGTGTGAGTTCAATTATGATCTAATGTTGTTATTGCCGTTGCCACTGACGGACCAATCTAGAACCAATTCAATTGTATTAGCCATAACAACGCGTTAAATTTATATATTTAGGAGAATTTCAGTGGTTTTTCGCATTTGTGCTGAGACAGAGATAAAGTGTATATATTACATATTTATATATATATATATAAAAGACAAATGGTCCGCTATATACATACATATGTATTTATAAGTATACATATATATATGTATCTGTGTGGCATATAAAATAGTGAATGTAATTTTATTCACATGTATCGCCTGCGGCCAATCCGTTTTGCCCCCTGGCCACAAATTGCACAGCGGCAGCAGCCAGCAACCCCGGAACCCCAGAGAAGGCGCACCTCGTTGCCACAGCCCAGGCCAAAACCAGCTGGGAATGTCTGTGTATGTGTAGGTGTGTGTGTGTGTGTGTGTGTGTGTGTGTGAGTGTTGTATGGCATATTATATGGCAAAGGCGGCAGAGTGCGGGGCAGAGAGTTGAAATCCATCATTGGCGCATGGCCGGCGGCAACATTTGGGTTGAAATATTATAATTACAAGCGAACGCCTCAGGGGCAAGGGTAGGTGAGGCGCTGTGGCAGCAACGTTTGCGAGCGTTGCCATCGCGTGCCTGTCCGTCTCGCCGTCTCTCCGTCTATCTGTATCTCTATCTAACTGAGCTAAAACTCAACAAAGCTGCGGATATGGATACTTAGTTGCTGCTGCTGCCTTTGTTGCTGTTGTAGCTGTTGTTGTTGTTGCTGCTGTTGCCATCGCCTGTCGCTGTGCGTTGTTCGGTTGTTGTGTTTACGTTGTGGCTGATAATATGGCGCGTAGTCGCAACAGCTTGTTGCCTCAGGCTTGCCGCGATGCAGCACGTTCGAGCTGCAACATGTTCGATGCAACCGAATTAACCAAACGCAATTTTGGTGTTAGCCATGTCCTTTAGACAGCCATTGTCCTTGCACGATGGCTGTTTGTTGTGCGAGTGTATTTGTGTGTGTGCGTGTGTGTGTTTAGTTTTTGTTGTTGGCTGTGTTTTGTTTGCTCAGGTGACAGCGGCGAACGGGAAGCAGGTGAATAACATGCAATGCAATTTTTTTATTGTCGTAGTTTTTGCGGTGTCGTAGCTATATACCCTGTAAATAAACTGTATAAGGTGTCTACACACATATATGTATGTATTTATATGAATAAACTTTGTGAAATGCAGCTGTAAGGCAACTTTTGATTTGAGCTCAAACCAAATTGTCAAGAACCATTCCTTCTGTAACCCCCAAGCAATTGATTCATGCTCAAAATAATATTTTTATATTAATAAATATCACAACCATAATCAATTACCTGTTTAAATAGATCTGCTTCGCAAACCGGCTCTCACCAACACGTGGTATCCAACTTGCCCACTTGCCATTAGAGCTTTGCCGCGTGTTTGGCTTGGTACTTGTTGCACTTGTGCGTGTGTGGGCGTGGCAAGCGAAGAAAAAACAATAACAAGCGGCGCCCACATTGTTATTTGAACAAGTGTTGAAGGCAGCGAAGTGGGCCAAAATGAGCTGCACATATGAAATTAGTCAAGAGCAACAAAGACAACGTTGACAAAAACTTGCCACACACACACACACATGTTGCACGCATACTGGCAGCAGTGGCAGCTGTCTCCGAAATTACAGTGCATATATGTTATATGTATGCACATAAAGCATAATTTAAAAATAACAAAAAACTGGCCAACCTTCGACTACGGCCTATAATTATGTTTGGATATACGAGTCCAGGCGAGTCTGTGGCAGTGCCACAATCACAGCTCATAATTGTCCCCGAAATGGTTTGCTGGTGTCCAGTGGCAGCGGCAGTGTCTCTGGCAGACTCTGGCAGTCTCTGCTGCGGTGGTTGTGGCAGCAGCTGCCAGGTGACAAGTCCTCAACGGACTTCAAGCAGTCTGCGTACCCTCATTATATGCAAAATGCCAAAATGCGGCCTGCAGCTACTTAAGTTTAACTTATTTTTAACTTCTACATATAATTTTTTTTTTGCTGCTGCCGCTGCCGCTGCTGCTGCTGTTGTTGTTGTTGTTGTTGCTTTTGCCTTGGGGCATTCTTAGTTGCATGTTCGACGCAATCCTTTTCCGTTCCAGCATTCAGAGTTCTGCAGCAAATAAAGAAACTGGTCCCATTCATAACTGGCGGCAATTTTTGCATTTTGCATTATATTTCCCTCAGCTCTCATTCCGATTCTTCGTCTCAGTCTCGCTCTCTCGCACACACACACTCTCTCTCTCTCTCTCTCTCTCTCTCTCTCTCTCTCTCTCTCGCCCTCTCTCGCTTACTCTCTAGAATATCAACTGTCAGTTTTCGAGCTGAAAGCGCCAGCGGGCTAGTTTGTAAATCATTAAAAATTATGCACACACACTATGTACACACATGTGTGTGCACACACACGCACACACTGAATCGAAGAGTTTTGCGAGAAGTTTTAGACACCAA